TCTTCTTGATGAGTCTTCATAGGAGGACCAGTACTGTCCCATCTGTGTCCTCCGATACCGTTGACCACTGATGAAAACTTCTGAACAGTGTCAAATCTAGCTGCTCCGCCATTCGATGGACTGCCAACGTGATGATTCTCAGCTGCCAGCCTCCCGATTGTTGGTTGCTGATCAAGAGGTTTTCTAGACCAGCCATATTGTCCATATATGGTGGATGGTGCTAAAAAAGTTGGCTTATGAATTGTAGAGTGCACGTGAATCCCAAGAGACCTATTCAATGATCCATGCAGTGGCGGAAAACCCATGCTCGAAGACCGGCCGAAACTGAGAGAGGCGGCGCCACCAAAGCAGTGCCCGCGTTTCACGATGGTCCGCTCGCGCTTATGAGCATTTTGATGGCCTCCTAGAGCCTGGGAACTATAGAATTTCCTTTGACAATAGTTGCAGGAAAAAACACGTGGTTCGGATTCATTACCTCGAGGACTTGGATCATTATTCGACGGATTTTCAGAAGGATTTTTCTCCAAAAGATTGAGTTCCGGCCTGGAATTTGGATCAATATCCTTGCTTGAGAGGCTCAGATCCAGCACAAGATTGGTATTTCTGCTGTTTTCTTGATTCTGATCTTGCTCTTCCATTTGCTTGGTTCTTTGTTGGGCTGTTTAGACATTATGGTACTGAAGTGATGCCTCCATACGATGATTAGTCCGTGAAAAAACTTTTTCAACTTTGTGTATGTGTGTGATCAATAATATTGTATTTAATACTAAGAAAGTTGTAAAATTTATTTATTAGAAAATAAATACTATGGTATATGTATGGAAGGAGAATTCACCGTTACAAGAACTTATTATAGAAAGGATGAGGAGAGAAGAAGAAAGAGAGATAAATGTATAGTACTATCAAGATTTTGATTGAAACTCTATCTATTATGATGGCATGTATACCTAATTTGAATGTTTTGTTCTACTTTAATTTTTTGTCACTTTGTTAGTATTTTTTTTATCACGTTTTTTATAATTATTTTTTTTATCACTTGGGGCCTTGGGTTTTGTCCATTTTTGGTGTGCTTGTGTTGATAAACCTAAGATGTCACAATCTTTTTAAGAAGGATTTTAAATGTTTGATTAGATGTGAAATTTTATTTTTGTTCAACATCATTATGCTTTCTGTGGCATCTCACTCCCGTCGTCTTCATTGTGGGAGATTGTATTAAATATCATGCAATCTCAGAGAGCACTATGCGAATGACACAAAATGCCCTACGACGATAGTGGGTCGTCATGTATACATGTGTCCTAAATAGTTACAACGACTACTATTTGGTAGACGTCGTGTTATTGGTGTTATCACAATTTGTACATATTTTTCATTATAGGAAAAAAAAAGTGATGTCATTATTTGATGAAAAGCCAATTTTGTACTACACAACATGTTTAAATATATTAATTTAAATAAAAGATTTCTATCATTTCACTTTTAAAATGAAGATGTGATTTGTTATATTAGGTAAAAAAAATTTTTAAAAATCTTTGTAAAAGAACATGAAATATTTTGAGGTCCATATTTTTGGCAAATTAGCCCATAAAGCCTATTTTTTAAATATTACTTTTTTCAAACTCATTTTCAATCACATACTATTTCAATTTTAAAAAAAAAATATTTACGCGTAAATTCAAATTTATTTTCACATATTTTAACAACACATTTGAACAAATCATTTTTACGAAATCTATTCCCAAAATTGGGGCTCAAATGATGCTTAATAATGATTAAATAATCACAACCATCTGATTCACATAGTTTTTCTTTAATTATTTCAGATTCTTTGTACAATCAGACATTAATTTTCTTTTTCACATATTTTAACGACACATTTTTTTAAAAAAAAAAAAAAATCACTGTTTACAAAATGTATTCCCATAATTAGGGCTCAAATGATGCCTAATAGTGATTAAATAATCACAGCCACGTGATTCACTTAGTTTTTCTTTAATTATTTAAGATTTTTTTTTTTTTTAGAATCAGACATTAATTTTCTTTTACACACATATTAATTAAACATAGAATAATTAAAAAAATGTAATGCAGCAAAGAATCCTCCTCTATTTGAATTTGATTTTGAAAGAATAATTTTTGGCTCTTGATTTTAGTATTAATGAAATTTAGTGATGTCAAGTATTGTATGGTCTATACGAAAATTTAAGATGGAAGAACACCTTGAGATATAAAATTTAGCATGAGATTTTAGTGAGAAGCGTACTGCATTTGATTTGGATTCAATATACCTATGTAATAATTTTAACAAATAATTGCATATTAGTGTATGCGATAATTGATTACGATAGATCATTTTATGTTGAACACAAATACTTAAATGAACGTGCAACTTTTGATAGGGCATTATTTTCCATGAAAATTGGAAAACAAATTTCAATTTCCACTTTTGCCTTATTTGATACACTTTATTTTCCATGAAAAAAAATTTCCACATTTGGCTCACATGCTCACCAATTCATTGGTTTTGTGGAAAACCATCTTTTTTTTTTTTTTAAAACAATTGGAAAATTTTTTAGATACAATATTAAAAAAATTTATCACTTTTATTGACAATTTTTATACAAAATAAAGCCAAACGATGGTATTCGGTATGATAATTTTTAAAATTTTTTTTTTGGCAAGTGAAACAAATTCTAGACCTAATGATAAAGGAAATTATTACTTTAATGGACAATTTTCATGAAAAAGAAAGCCAAACAGACACCAAACTTTCAACATTTTCTAGGTGGAAAATTATATCAATCAAACACAATTAATTATAATTCCCAGTAAATCAATTTCTAGACAATTCAATTCCCTAGAATTTATTTTCTTTTCACTATTTTCCACATTCGCAATCAAACGGACCCAAATGTTAGATCTTGGATACTAAGTCAGCATGCATGCAAGCAGACTTGTTGAATTTAAAGATTTTAATGAATGCACAATATTGTTAAGTTGCTCGAGTTTCATTTACTCTCTAGGTTGTACAAGTTATCTACGCACCATTCAAATAGTGAAACTCTAAAAGTTTCTACACCTAATCGACTTGAAACTGATCGATAGTAAAAAATTTGCTAATAAAACACAATATACAAATTGATTTGATTTTCTTTACCGCTAATAAACTTATATATTGATAATCACCTTAGGGTATTTTCTTATGCTCAATACCCAATAATTTTTTATTGAAATCATTCTAATATTTTATAAATATATTCACACCTTTATTTTCTGCTCATTTGTTGTTTACATGGTCACCTTAAGTTGCAATGCAATTATTACACCTTTTGATTTGAGAAATACAGTTGAATTTGTTTGAAATTGTTAGGCAATACTCCACCCTCAAACTAAGGATAGGACAATGAAGTTTCCTTTCAACAACACGATTTGTGTAACCTAGGAATTTGTTAAACATAGTCACATACGTAATCTTATGTAAAACTAGTGGAAATGATAATTTTATTAAATGATAATTATGAAAACGTGTCGTCATGTTAGTGATTATTACATAAATACTTCATAAAATAATGAATTATTTAACATTTTTATAAGGCCAATGAAGGAATTAAATATATATTTTTTTTGAGAAACGCTTTAAAGTCGTGAATTTAAAACAAATCGTAGAGCGCGCTTCTATAACTTTTGAAAAAAAAAAAAGGGTAGAATATTAGTAATTTTTGAAAATATGTATGAAAGGAATTTTTCGAAATTTGAATAAGTTTTCATTTTTTTATATCTGATTTTGAATTCCACTAAGAAAAGCCATCGAGGTTATACAAGTCAGTAACATTGTTTAGGAATCTAGTTAAATTGGAACTTGTTAACAAGTGTAGATCGAACACTTGGACCGACGCGGAATTAGCTGGTACTAAAGGCCCCTAACATGCTACCTTAGTGCTGTCTAATGTGAACAATTGTTATCCATATAACATGATTAATGTTATCAAAGCTTTTGTAAAGTATAAATAGTTGTGAAAACGAGACCTCCGGAAAATGAACTTCTACAAAGAGATAAGTATTATCTCGAAAATAAACTACATAAAGTATAAATAGTAGCGAAAACGAGATGTCCACTTAATCAACTTGTACAAAAAGATAAGCACGCTCTTGAACATAAACTGCACAAAATAAAGAGAAAATTGCAGCAACGATTCTTAACATTTTCAATTTTTTGAAAATTTTACTCGAACTTTCATTTTGTACCAGCAAAGATTCCTAGCCTTTCATAACTATGCAGTTGGGGTTTATCTGGACGGAAATAGTCCAAAACATCGTCAGTTGACTTGAAAAATTAAAAAATTAATTATTTTAACCATTTTAAAAATGGGCAATTGTATTTTCCCTCCTTCACCATTTAAAGTCTATACATTTCCCTCAAGATAGTTAAAACAAAAAAAAATAAAAAATTAAAGGAACGTGAACTATTCATTTTCTCAACTCCACTCCACTCCACTCCACTCCACTCCACCCTACCGCGACCCACTATACCAAAACCAAATCTAACCCAACCCCTGCCTCGTCCTTCTTCCACAGTGACCAACCGCCACAACCATCGCCAAAACCAAATCCAACTCAACTCACTATATCAAAAACAAATTCACCCTCTACAAATATGTTTCTTTTCTAGATTAATTATGCTTCATTGATCTTAGATATGAAGGAGAAAGAGTAGTAGAATATGAATATCACATATATTGTGGTTAAATCTCTATGTAAGAAATCAGTTACTCCAGTGTCAATCATTTTGGCTTTTTAGGTTTTCTCTTGAAAAGATTTTGGTTTGTTCTTATTTTTGTTGTGATTTGTCTAGGAAATTTGGGGGTAATAAATATCATATTTCATTTGGATTGTGGCTAATGAAATGAGATATAAATAAAGAAGAAAAATGAATAAAATTGGGGTTTTGAAGTAGAGGTTGGAGGATTGAGTGATGCCATGAAAGTAACTTCAACGTTGTAAAGGATGGTGATAGGTGTGCGGAAGAAGATGAAGTATTCGGGGTGGGTAGTGGGGATGAGGGGATGGCTTAAGTTTTTTTCCCCTTTTTTTGTTTTAATTATTTTATGATTAACGAAATTACCTCTCCTTAAAATGGTCAACATACTTCATTTTTTATTTTTTTAAAGTCAATGGACGGTGTTTTGGACGGTTTTCGTTCATATGGACCCTAGCAGCATATTTATGAAAGGTTGTGAACCTTCGTTGACACAAAATGATGGTTAGGGTAAAGTCTGCAAAAATTGAAAATGTTAATGACTGCTTCTACAATTTTCCCAAATTCAAGTTACAAAATTATTCAATTTTTGCAAAAATGAGTAATCAAAGTAAAAAAATCATAAATATAACTTACAAACTTCATCAAAATATGAAGTTTGTTAAAAGTAATAAATTAATCATGTGAAATAATAAAAATTTAAATCGTATATATTCTGACTATCAGTGTGTGTGGCTGTGTGTATTTTTTTTTAAAGCATGTTGCTCATCCCCGACATAATTCAGTTCCAAAAGAAAAAAATTAGACTCAAAATGGTATGGTGGAATCTAAAAATTTTGTCCAAAGTTTAGGTGCACAAGTTACTCGGTGCAATTGATGAGGTAAAACTACAATTTTACATAAAAAGACAAAAAAAATCTATGAGAATTTATGATATTCCATGAGAACCCTAAAACCAAGTGGCAAGTGGCATTTCCCATAAACCAATCAATAATGAGTTTTTATTCGGTTGAGATTAAAATAAAATTTTTAGTATATTTTAATAAAAGTTTATAAAATATGTGATTAAAAAAATGTGGATCCCATGAAATATTTTGTTGAAATTAGTTATTAATTTTTACTCGTCATGGATCAAATAAGTCACTTAATTCATAAAACATTATTCATCCATAATATAAGTCTATCGAAATCTTATGAATTCTATGAAATTTTAGTAAATGGTTATTTGACAAATATTTTAATAAAAAATTCGCAAATTTTGATATTTGTTATTTAACACGTGTTTTAAAAATCGATAATAATTGTGTGTTTAAAATTAAAGTATGAACAATTTAAAAGGTTGATAAAATTGTTTTATCAAATAACCACTCCAATCCATGAAATATATGATAATTTGGCTCCGTTTGGGAGCCATTCTTTTTCAAATAATACATTTTATCTTTCACATCAAGTGGGGTCCATGGAGAATGTGTGGTTGAAAATGAAGGAAAAGTTATTGATGTGATGGAAAATATTATTTTATTGAAAAATGTGTGGTTAAAAATGAGTAGAAAAATGAAAATGAAAATTTTAATGATTACCAAACGGAGGCTTTATAAATGTTAAGAAATCTATTAATTTTATTTATTTTTGGTTCAATTAGCCTCTGTCCGATTTAAATAAAAAATACACATTTAATAAATTTTGATAAAAATTGATAGAATATATAAGGGACCATTTATATAAAATTATGGAGAGAATGAAATACGTTGTTAAAGTTTTAATTAAAGATCAATTATTTTAATTGAAAACTAACATATGGGACCCATTTATATGAAGCCAGTTTCGCCAACTTTAAAACCCTAAACCCCTACTCAGCCATCTTCACCCAAAGCTCCACCACGACTGTCATGGCTTCCACCGTCGACGGAGGCGCAAAACAAGCGGGTCTCGACTCCATCCACCGTCTGAAATCGACAGAACCACCGTTCTTCCTCTCGCCGTCACCGGACCTCTCACAGGCTGCTCGATCAGCCTCCCAGTACCTATTCTCATCTCTGAAGCCATTCGCTCCCAAATCTCCGTTCAGCCAGCTCTTGACCGAAGGCTTTGACGCTGAGCAGATTTGGCAGCAAATAGACTTGCAATCCCAGCCCTTACTTCTCTCCCTCCGCCGCCACGTCAAGCAATTTGAGAAAAACCCTGAAGAGATTCACAAACAATTCGATTTGGATAGAGATAGGTTTGCAGACAATAAAAAAGAAGAGACTGAGACTGAGGATGGGGATGGGGATGACGATGATAAATTAGTGAGCCAAGAAGATGGAGGAATTGATGGTTTAGAGAGTGAGAGTGAGAGGAAGGGCTTTGATGAAGACGAAGAGGAGGATGACGATGATGATGGTGAGATGGAGGACAAAGAAAATGCAAATGAAGTAGAAGATAAATTTTTGAAGATAAAGGAATTGGAAGAGTATTTAGTTGACGATGAGGAGAAGGAATATGGATTGAAGAAAGAGAAGAAGAAGAGGAAGAGAGGTGAAATTAGGGACGACGATGAAGATGAAGAGGGTGACCAGGAGGATGATGAGGACGATGAAGAGGAGGATGAGGTATGATTATGGAATCTTTAGGGGATTTTTGGGTTTTCAAATGAGGCTTTGTCTTGGTTCAGTAAATTATGGGATTGAATGGTTAGTTGGTATATTAGGTTTGAAAGATCATTGAGCTTATAGTTTGATGTAATTTTTTTTTTTTTTTTTTGCAGCTTGGATTAATGGGGCTCGATGATGAAGATGAAGAAGATGGGAACAAGATGGAAAATGCAAGGTGTGATTTTTATCCGTTGTTCCTTTCTCTTCTTTTCTTTCATTTATGTAGTTATCATTTTTTCAAGATTCTCTCACTTAAAGAACAATTTAAAACTTTGACAGATTCAATAATTTGATGAGAAATCTTGCTCGTGTTATTGAATTTAAGGGTTGAAATATCTCTTTGGTGTTGGTTTTACAAGTAAATTGTTATGAAAACTGGAATGCCCTGATGCCAGTTTGTCGTGAGAAAATAAGGAATTAGGCCACAATATGAAGTAAAGATTACAAGAACAATGTAATTTTGCAGAGAATGGAGATTTTATTATAATATGAAGAAAGAATACAAAGATTTTGTATTTATGATTTGTTTAATTTCTTACTAAATCATAGCGAAGTGCCAATTATATATATGGATAATTAGTGGACGTCCAAACCCTTATAATAGATAGAGTTGTAGATGAAATAGAATGCCAAAAACGGAGTAGGAGAAAAGGAATATGCTAAACAGCGTTGGGTGCCTGGGCACCGGCTTCTCTGCCCACTTTTTTGTGGGTGGCGCCTAGGCGCCGCGTCCCTGTGCCCGTCTCCGTCCAAATTGCCTTCCAAAGATGTTTTTTTTCACCCCAAGGTCATCTTCAAGTCCAACACAAATTCCTACTCGGCTTCCAATTAGAACTTCCAATTAGAAGTCACACCAAATAAATTTGAATAGGATTTCTCAATTGCATTTCAAATAGGATTTTACTTAATCTGCACTTTTGTCGGTTCCATTCAGGTACGAGGAATTTTTTGGTGGTAAAAGAACTGGTCAGAGGAAGAAACCTAAAGTATTTGGTAGATCCAATGATTCAGATATGGACTATGACAACAATAATCAGGTAATTTATGTTCTTAAAGCATCCAACCCTCCCTCCATATCTGTACGTGTGGTGTAGATCAATATATATATATGTGTGTGTGTGTGTGTGTGTGAAAATCGATATGGAGTTCTTCAAGAATTGTTGCACTCCCTTCGTACTCTTAAGGTTTTTTGTTTTACAGAAGAAAAATACTCTTTCTACCCATGAAAAAGAGCTAGAGAAGCTCCGTTCTGAGATAGAGATGATGGAGAAAGCGAATTTAGACCCAAAAACCTGGACAATGCAGGGGGAGGTACTATTTTTCATTTTCTAAAAGATTTTTTCACAGCTATCAACTTATGCATATGACAATGTGCGCATCTGATTGTTTAATGAATTATGCCAGGTAACTGCAGCTAAAAGACCAAAGAATAGTGCATTGGAAGTTGATCTGGATTTTGAGCACAATGTTAGACCTGCCCCTGTGATAACAGAAGAGGTCACTGCATCCTTTGAAGAGTTGATACAAAAACGCATCCTTGAGGTGAAATTCGATATCCATCCATGATTTGGAATTTTGTTGTTTGGTTATGTATGGATGAAGAAGTTATTTTCCCCTTCTCCGCTAGAATTAGCTCTACTAATAAAGATTTATTGCATGTTCTTATGGTTTATCTACTTGTATGATTGAGATAATAGAAATGCCAAACAATCACAAAGAAAAAGTTTGTTTTTCCTCTCCCTGTCTTTGCTCCACCACAAAATTCACATGCTAAAGGGTTTTGGTTCAAGGGGGGCTAGAGGGGAAATTTTATCCTTTTTATGGGTTGGGGGTGGTACAGTTGTAGGAAATTATCTAATGTCACCCTATGTTGTATAGTACAAGAAAAGGTGGTTGAAAAAGGAAGATGAAGACTAATTGCGGAAGAGAAAAATCACTTTCTTTTTCCTGATAGTGTAGTTCTAAGATTTATGCCTTTTTAATTGTTATTTCTTATAATTGTTTCTCACTTAATCATCATTATCTATGGTGTTACCATATATAGGGGCGTTTTGATGATGTCCAGAAGCCCCCTACTTTACCATTCAAATCTCCAAGAGAAAAAATTGAATTGGTATGTTTTTCATTTTCTCTAAATCTTCTTTCTCCTTGGAGTTGATTTTTTTCCTAATTCCATCAACTTCAAATGTACAGGATGAGAATAAGAGTGAAAAGGGCCTTGCTGCACTTTATGAGGTTAGTATCTTTTCAACGAGTAGTTTTGGGTTTATTTTTCATTGGTTGTGATGTATACATTCATATTGTAATATTATATGAACTTTTTTGACAATATGAGCCTTTTCTTTTTATCTATATTTTCATCACAATTATATGGAACTTTTTCCCCTATGTTTATGCAGGATGAATATGTTCAGAAGACTGGTCTAGTTTCAACAGCAATGTCTTTCAAAGATGAGCAAAAGAAAGAAGTGCGTTCATAGAACTTTACTTTTTTATTTGTTACCATTTCGTTCCTCTCAGATCATATATCCTATATGTTTAACGTATAAACTCTGTATTGTAACTTGCTTGCCTTCAGCTTTGGTCGATATAGTGTATTTGTCGTTTATATTTTCTGTTGTGCCCATAAAAAGTAATTTTCTTATTATCTTCCCTGAATATAGGTAATTTGGTAAACATTTTCTTCAAATTAGTCAATACAACTCTCTCTCTCTCCCTCTCTCTCACACACACACACATTATTTCTTTCAAACTCTATTGTAACTTGCTTGCCTTCAGCTTTGGTTGATATAGTGTATTTGTCGTTTATATTTTCTGTTGTGCCCATAAAAAGTAATTGTCTTTTATCTTCCCTGAATTTAGGTAATTTGGTAAACATTTTCTTCAAATTAGTCAATACAATTCTCTCTATCTCTCATATTATTTTTTTCAGGCAAGTATGTTATTCAAGAAACTGTGCCTAAAGTTGGATGCTTTATCTCATTTCCACTTCACTCCGAAACCGGTACACTTCTTTCTAATCGTAATATGACCCAATCTTTTACCAAAATTTTATCGACTTCTGAAGCAGGTTTTGAATTTTATTTTTATTTAATCAACTCGAAAAGGTTATTGAGGACATGTCTATACAAGCAAATGTTCCTGCCTTGGCTATGGAAGAGGTAAATAGTCTATGGAATTTTTGAGTACTTGCATTAAACAAGTAAATTCTTTTATATTAGTTAACATAATTTCTTTGGTAGATTGCACCTCTAGCAGTCTCTGATGCAGCTATGCTTGCTCCTGAGGAAGTGTTTGCTGGCAAAGGAGATGTTAAAGAAGAAACAGAGCTAACAAAGACGGAGAGGAAGAGGAGAAGAGCAAACAAGAAAAGGAAATTCAAAGGTAAAATATCGAATGAAGCGATAGAGATGAGTTTGAAATCAACATAGAAATCCTAAAAAGCCACCTCCAATTAGGGCTGGGGTAGTATGGACAAAATTATGCTCAATCATATATAGTAACGTAGAGCTAACATGAACATTCAAGTATCCACTAAGCTTCATGCAGTTTTAAACTGTTCTATCTATTTTTGTGTTGATTGAATTTTTTTACTTTGGGTCGACAAAATTACAGCTGAGGCGACAAAACGGATGGCAAGAAAGGTGCAACAAAACCCAGTGACGAACAGTGCAGCTGGTAACTTTACAATTTCCTCCATTTATATTTCTTCGGTTTCTAGGAATCGAGTTGCTAACTGCTACTGCTTCATGAAACTACAGGCAATGAAGAATCATGAGTTTGTTAAAGAAATTCTTGTAAGAAGCATCTCTTGCCTTGGCCATTGTTACTTTTGTGACTGCCAGGTAAAAGGCGTATTTCTTCAAATAACCTCCCCAACGGTGTCAAAAATTTTGATTTTTCAACTTTAAGCTTCTATATGGACACCTGTGGCAAACACAAAGGAAGACAAAAGAAGCTCAAAAAATGTAGTTGAAACATAGGAGTGGAAGAAAGTAGAATCTAAAAAGTTCTTATTTTTTATTTTTTTCGTGTGAAGTATGAACTTTGATTGCCTTGATACGGCTTTGTATTGAGATAAATTTTCCAACTAGTGCCTAATAGTCAATTTAATTATAGTGTTAGTTCTCTATTTTAATGACAGCATTGACATGGCCTTTCACAGAGAAGGTATAATGCAACCTTCATATTTTAGCTTTTAAAGCGTTGATTGTCGAGTTTCCTTGCAGAAATCATAAAGACAGAGGTCTGACCGACTCGCCTGAAACTCGGCCTACTTTAGGCACAATATGGATCGCGAGTTGGCCTGGTTCCCGTGCTGGATCCACAAAATTGCCAACACCAAAAACCTAACAAACTCTTCTTTGGCATTCTGTGACAAAATTATACAATAAGTTAAGGAAAACTAAATACAAAATCTAAACTACCCAAGATTTATCAAATTGATGTCTCTTGCATTCCTTGTTAAACCCGTTTTCTGAAATTTACAACTCAAATACCTAGTGTAAAAGCACGTGATACATGAAATAATAAAATTATTAAACACATGATATCAACACTAGTTAGAATGAGACGTAACACTAATGTTAATTTAAAGACTAACAAAAAACATTAGCATCACATAAACATCAAAAACTCAAATAGTTAGATAGATATGATATGGAATGTAACACAATCAACAAATTTCCCCTATCAATCTACTTTACTGTCAAAAATTTTAAAAATTTAAAATTCTCTCATTCTCTATATTTACTTTAGACTCATCATTTTTGTCACAAATGACGAAGGGACTGATAATTAAAAAATCACAAAAATTCTTTACTCTCCCTTTTTTTAACATTAACATATAATAA